CTCGCTCAAATTGAATGCGTAATGAATAGCCGCCCACTTTGTCGGACGTTATCTAGTGACCCCTCGGAACCACTGGCTCTAACTCCAGCACATTTTTTGACTTTAACGCCTCTAAGGTATCTGCCCGCCGCGGATATGGATGAGAACAGACTTAGCATTTCCACACGCCACAAATTATTAGATCGGTTAGTGCAATCGTTTTGGAAACGATGGAGGATGGAATACTTGCATACTTTGCAGTCTCGGCAAAAATGGAACACAGCGACAGAGCCTTTAGCTGTAGGAACCGTAGTTGTGCTCACTAAGGAGAATACGCCGCCTCTCCACTGGCCGTTAGGAATCGTCGAGGAGGTCTTTCCCGGTTCCGACGGAGTAATTAGGATAGCTCGCGTTAAGACCACGGTTGGGTCTTACCTACGTCCTGTTATCCGTTTGTGCCCCTTGCCTCTTCCATAATTTAAATTAGCTTTCTAGACTGAAATTGTAGTTTAATTTAGGTAATCTTAGCGTTAGTTAGTTATTTGTTAGTCGATCTTAGCTCTAGTTGTTTAGTTATTTTTTTTTGAAGGAAATCCTTCAAGGGCGGGGGAGATGGTTGCGCGGAAAACCATTCGCGTTTTTTATTTTGACGGTAGGAACTTGTAGAATCATTATTTCCTTTCCAAACAATATCATTCGTACCCTCCTATCGACACATCGGGGTGGTGGGGTGGGAGGGGAAAGAAGACGATTCTAGAACATCGCGTAATCACCCGAGCCGAGGATATATAAGACACGCGCGACCGATGCGCGAGCCTCTTCTCCCGCCGCAGTCGTCGTTGAACCAACGCTTCTCTCCTGACGCACCACTGGGGCCCCAGAAGTGTCTGTCCAGAGGAGGTTCCGGAAGTCGCCGCTATAGTGATCGACAGGAAGAAGAAACCCCGGTGAGTCAATATTCCTTAATTATACCTGCTTGCTAATAATTTAACCCGCTCCAATCTGTGTTTTTTTTCCTAGTCAAGCAGGATTCCTTTCATCGATTCGACAAGTAATAGTTTAGTTTAGGGAAGAGCGAGTGCATTGTACCGCATGCTATAGTAGTCGCCTTATGTAGGCGTAGAAGCAATCGCATATACAGTCCACTTTAGTTAATATCTCGCGTAATAGGTTTGAGGTTTGACCGGGGAACTAGATTTTCGGCAGCCTTAAACACGTGGCTCCACCAGAAATAATACTAGTTTTTACGGAATTTATCGCGTATATTTAACTTTTTAAATACCCGACGTTTCTTTTTTTGTTTTTTTTTTCTATATTAATTGTGAGTGTTTTTTTTCTAAAGGTAGAATTGTGAGAGTGTTTTTTTCTAAAGGTAGAAAGTGTTTCACAATTCTACCTTTAGATAAAGTAACTGCATTTTTAGACCATCTTAACTATCAATTCTAAAATTCAGTTCACAATGGAGTTAGAGGCAAACAATTCCTTAGCTTTTCTAGATGTGTTAGTAATTCGGAATCCTGACAACACCTTGAGCCATACTGTGTATAGAAAAAAGACCCATACAGATAGATATTTAAACGGTGATTCTCACAACCATCCTTCACAGTTAGCTACCGTGGGTAAATCTTTGTTTCAGAGAGCACGAGGGATCTGTGACAGTAAACACCTGGCTGCCGAGCTCCACCATGTCAAGCAAAGTTTGCATGACAACAAGCTTCGAGTCCCGCGCCTACGTCACAGTGAACGAGTGAAGCCGGCCACAGTCGAGCGTGTACCTGCTGTACTGCCATATGTTAGAGGAGTCACTGACAAGATTGGCTACATCTTGAAGCGCGCTTCCATCAAAACATACTTCAAGCCGCTGAAGAAGATTGGTCAGTTTTTACCATCAGTCAAGTGTAATGTCCCTCTACAAGATGCAGGAGTGTACACGCTTGATTGTGAATGTGGTCTCTCCTACATAGGACAAACTAAAAGATCAATAAAAACCCGCGTTAAAGAACATATAGCTGATGTGAAGAATCGACGCTCCGGGAAGTCTGCAGTCTGTGAACACGTACAGATTCGCCCCCGTCACTACATCAGATTTGATAGACCGCAAATCCTCGCTAAAGAACACCGATTCCTTCCAATGATGATTCGCGAGGCTATTGAAATCAAAAAACATCCTAATTTCAATATAGAAGATGGCTGGGTGCTACCATCTGCTTGGGGTCCTATAATAAATAAAATTAAATCCCAAGTCAAGCATACAACTGCAAGACTTCAAGATACCATAAGTTCATACTGTATAGATCGGAACAAAAGTTAAATTTTAATCTATGGTAACCGCGGTTAACTATGACATATGGAGTTGAACATCTCAGTCCCGCCCGTGACGATGAGTGCTGTAAAGCGTTCGAAACGTCGAGTATTTAAAAAGTTAAATATACGCAATAAATTCCGTAAAAACTAGTATTATTTCAATTTGCCTGATTAATTGCATTTTGCGTCGCTTTTGTTTAGAGGTCAAGTATAATTAGATTAGTTGGGATGGGGTTCTTTCTAAAATTTTTCAAGGTCAAGCTACTTTGTGCTACTAAAAAGGATAGTGTAGGATTCCAGTTAGGTTTAGGCCACAAGTCATTTTTGGAACCATCACAGCTTATTACTAACGGTATATGTTCGTCGCAGCTTTATTCACCAACTTAATTAAAATTAACTTATAAGGATTGGACACTGACGTCATCTAAAGGCTGTAAAAAATAATTTTCTAAAGACATGCTATACGCTGGCCAATTTGTTAGTTAATTACTATTTTTAGTTACTCAAACTCGAATCATGTTGCTATTGTACTTGTAGGAAATCTTAATAAACATATGGTCGCTTTGCAAGCTTTCTTTCATAACACTCCGGTTTAATACAACGCATAAGTCAGAGGAAATAAATGTCACATCAGCCGATGTCTGCTGAATAATGTTATCAACTAGTCATTCTATTTACGCTATGATCATTAAGGGATATAAAGCAACTCCCTAAAGCCGTATCACCAATAGAAGAGGAGGACAGATAATCGGTCCTCCTTTTTCATTGGTTTTAGAGGACCAGGATCTATGGTGGCCATTAAAGTCCACAATTATAATACATTTATTCGGAAATAATGAAAGAAATGTTCCCAATCGGACAGACTAGTTTGCACTGTGTAGGGGCAATATATTAAAAGTATATTTTTAATTTCATTGCAGTTCAAAAGTTTGACCGATATTATTTCTATTAACGAATGATCAATAATGATTGGACATTGTTGTACTTAAATCGAATTGCAAATTCGATTGGCAACTCCCTCGTAGCCATCTAACCTATCCTTTCTAAAAATATTATAGCCACTAATATTTATATGTGAATCTGGTTCTAGTCAAGTTTCGGATATAATTTCTATATGTATTTTTTTCTTGTACGAATAAAAGGTCCATTTCGTTACGTTTTTGCTGCAAGCTTTGTGCATTCCATGTAATATACGTAGGTTAAACAACCTTGTACTATCGTTCGTAGTTTGTAAACATAAATACTATTTTTGTTCATAAATCGTCTCTGTTTCTTAAATTTTGATTATCAAATTACCAAGCATTTCAAGTGATAGTTTACCTAATTGTTGGAACTTAGTAGACCAATCGTTAATGGAAAAACATATATCTTTGACTCTTGGAAAAATACTACGTAAACTTAAAGAATTTGAATTTATTACTCCTAGACTCAGAGTTCTGTTCTATCGCTCTTTGTCTTGCTTCTGCCTCACCGTTGCCCTTTTCTCTAATCTTACTATTTCCATCTGATCCTCCAGTTTCCGTACTCTTTGTCCCCAGCGTCCGCTCTTTTTCTACATGATTATGTCCAAAACTCTTCCCTTCAATAACCTTATCTGACATCGACAAAATATTATAAATAAGTGTTTCTATTATCACTATGTCTCTGTACGATATTTTTTGCGTGTTCTGTGTGCTCTCAAGTTGTGAATCATTAATGTTCCTATTTCTTTTAATGCTCCCGCTTCTCTTGTGTAATTCTTGAATCCCTGGCTTTTTAAATATATTTCTAGACCTTTTCGATAATAACAGTTTTTCTTAGCCATAATGTCTCTTATTTCTTTTAAAAATATCGGTCACTTTTTATACAGAGCCTTACGTGGTCCTTTACAGTTGACACAAACAAACTTGTCGGTATCGCAATTCGGGTTTGACATTTGGAGCATATAATTTTTAATTAGACACGATCTTGAGAGATGATCGCACTTCCAGCATCCGCAGCACTCGGAAACTGGAAAGGTATAAGGTTCTACTTTAAACCTTCAACCGTACCAGTACATATAATACGGTGGTAAATTGGTACCTTTGAAACAAATTCTTATCGTTTCTGAATCGATCCATTCTCCGCTATCAGACATTCTTCTGAGTCGTTTTATTGAAGTTATTACATGCTCACATGAAATATTTTCAAGAATTTCTTGTTCTTCGGCCTCTAAATCCATCTACAGTTTTAAATCTCTAAAATCATTCGCGTTACAACCATAATATAGCTATACCATAGCTCTACCACGTCCACGTCTACAGCAAAGAAGTAGAATAATTTTCCAGCAGCTGACTTTCCTACTGATTAGAATGTAGTTAGTTAGTAAAAGGCTGTAGTTAAACTAAATCAGTGCATTTTTTCATCCTCGGCTCCATCACCGCTACTTATCATAGTTAAAGTTACAAATATTGTTAAAATAGATACCATGTAATGGAACTATTATTTATAATGCTCAAGTGACAAACGAACTTACAATCGATCTAATGGTAAAGTGCTACAGCAACCTATTGACACCTGCAACCAACTTGAAATGAAGTAGACTACATTATCATCTCTGAGGATCAAGATAAATAGCCTTTACAGTCTGAAATTAATATATGCACTACTGTGTTCAATTCTGAAGTCTCCCTATACCCTTCAGATCGGAATACAGCAGTAGTACTAGGAAACTAATATGTTGTTAATTTTTCTTTCAGTATCAAACTTACATCTCGATGCAGGATGATGTGTACGATATGAGTAAAACACGCTCAGGAAAACCTTGTTGGCATTTGATACCTGATGCGAGTGCTTTAGCTATGAACGACACGATGTTTCTACGAAGTTTTATAATCGAAGTATTGAGACAAACAATTGACGAATCAATGTATACCCAAGTCATAAATGTTTTTAATGAGGTTCGGTGAACATTTTAATCATTATAAATAGTGTAGAATACCGTGAGAAGGCGTGGTAAAAGAATCCAGAGCTATATTTCGTTTCGTGAGAGTCGTAATTGATGACTATCGGATATCTCAGTAATATATTGTAGCTTCTGATAGATGGCAGTATAAACGTATCGTTTACACCAGACGTATCATATTGAGACTGGCTACGGAAAACAGTCTGGCATCAAATCTCCAAATGTCTAATGTTGCGAACGTCAAACCGCTCCTAGATATGGCAAAGAAGTGCACTTCACAAGAAAAAAATACCACTGGTTTAATGACCTATAACCTAGACCTAGAATGACATATATATATATATATATATATATTATATATATATATATATATATATATATATATATATATATATATATATGTAACGTAATTAACGCACACTGAATTTTAGTTAAACATTTTAATGCACTGATTATTTATCAAATTAGTTATACTAATTCCGGAAGAATGTTGTGGTCACAGTACAAATCCGACGAACGCAAATACTTTAACGTCCTTGAAATATAGTTCATTTTTGTCATCATCAATGACTGAATTAGTAATAATAAAATAAAACTGCACTCTTAAAAGTCTTATTGCCTTAAGTTAGGGTCCATTTCAGTTTGTTTTGACTGTACAGATTTAGTGTGACTGTAATTTACGTAGTTTTAATTATTTTTGGGAGAAAAAATTACCTATATTAAAAATGATGGGAATCGATTCAATAAACGATTCAGAACAAACTACTTTCTCAAAGTGCGTTAATTATGTTACGTGTTGTATATATATATATATATATATATATATATATATATATATATATATATATATATATGTTATATCTGTGTGCATGACTGCACGAGATGGAATGAGCGTATGGTTACTATTACCACTATATTGAATTAGCAAAGATTGTATGTTACTGTTAGAGTATTTTTAATTTTCTCATTAAATTATATAAATTATTCTATCTATTTTTGAGCTGATTTTTATATCTTTTTCACTGTTTAATATTTGTACTTTTAATTTAATTTTATAATTGTGTTTTTTTTTTTCAGTTTGTTGAGCTAGATTTATTTTAATATTATTAGTGTAAGATTTAATTTGTAATAAAAAGAACTCTATCGCATTTGGCTCGACCTGTAAGGATAGATGTCTCAAGTAATAAATAAATAAATAAGAATTACTCGTACTATCCGATCTAGCCCAGACATCGGTAGCTAATATGTATAAATTATTTTATTCTTTTAGTAAATTGAAGTCGGCGTTTAGTTTTTAATCTATTGAATAAACAAAGGAATGTCATAACGTCAAGGTAACAACTAGAAAGGGGTAAGTAATATAAGTTCGAATTGAAAAATATTTATTATATAAAATAGATATCGTTTAATATAAATTTATTCTGTTTCATAATGTAAAGATAATTCATCAAAATAATAATTTCATTAGTGTCGGCGTGAATCGAACCCAGGTTGCTCGCGTTTACGGCGAGCACTACGCCTTTGAGCTACCATGGCTAATATATTTTTTGTTTCTATTTTATAATAACATTACCTCAATACTAATAATTTTCCTGATTATATCGTGGGGGTAGTTAACATAAGAACAGAAATTTCACAAGGACATACATCCAGTCCTGGAACAATTATTTGTAGACATACAAATGTTTGTTCCATGCGAGAATCGAACCCGCGGTCCTTAGAGTTAAACTAATTGCTAAACCACTCCGCCACGGAGCTGTCAAATGTATTTTTATAGTGATAAATATTTTAATTGTAAATTGTTTGCTATTAAATAAACGTATACAATTATTAATTAAATAAATAATATCATTTATCAAAGTATCATTCGTTGTGTTGTGTGGCGCGTGTTATTTTTATTCTGTGGTTGTACCTTCATTCGTTTCCCATAGTGTGGCCAGGTAAAATCGAGAATTTGGTTTTAAAATCGGTAGAGTTACAATAGCTACAGCATAATTTTTGTAGCCATTGAAGTCGCTATTAGTTATACTGGTCTTTTTGTCACAATTCACAATGTGTTTTATACTTACTATTTAGAAGTGATCAAATGAACGACCAGTTTTTTGTCCAAACATCTTTGCAGACCCTGAACTTTCTGATTAATGTTATTCTGAAAATAGAAATAAATCCTATAAACTCACAACTGAACTTCAAAAAGCCCTTTAAAAAAACGGTATCTTACAATATAAAAAGCGACATCCATTCATAATCAAACGGTCTTAATACCTCACACCATAATACCCTAGATAAAACCTTTGCTTCGGATGTTACCTTATGTATTGAAAACAACAGTTCCTACAACCGATTGAAGAAATTGACAAGTGGAATAACTTTTCCACGAGACTTGCATTTTACTAAATGTACTTATCTAAACAGCAGCATTAATGTATTAATTTTGGGTGATTTCAATTTGAAATCTTGTAGCGTTAATGTAAAGACCCAATTTGATTTTTTTTTTTGAATTGATGAGTTTCATCCTGCACTTGAAATTATAATTAAGCTTCCATTCGCTTGTTTAGCATTCATTTCTTCTCCTGCTTTGCCAACGTTATCCCTTTCCAATATGCAGAGCTACCGCTGGAACTGGCGTAAGGTAGATTTTCATGATCTTTATGCGGCTTTATCTAAATTAGATTGGTCAGATTAACTTTAAGAGATTGATATTGACTGTGAGAGAGTACTACGAGAAATTGTACGACTGTATAAATCTCTTTGTACACGTTTCTTTGCGCACTACCACTAACCACCGATATGTATATCCTAAATGGTATACTGCTGAAATCATAAATAATATTAAAAACAAATACTACCATATTAAAAAGTATAAAAAGAAAGGTAAAGAATTCCATAGGCAAATGTTTAAGAATAATAGGGAGCAGGTAAAAACTGATAGATAGGCAATATAGGCAATATCTAAAATCGGTGCAACGTGCTGCTGATGCCTTTGCAGCATTTTTTAGCTCTGTGTTTCATCCGAATATACCCTTTTTGGATCCTATTAAGGCTGTTCAAGCTGCACATTTTAACCAGAACATTACGTACCTATCTATAAACGCCGTCAATGCGAGGGATTAGAAGGAGGGTGTGAAACGTCTCCAACCGCGTTCAGCCAGTGAGCCTAATGGCATTCCTGGTTTCTTGGCTAAAGAGTGTATAGCTGTACTGAAGGGGCCTCTCTTGCATCTCTTTAACCTTTCACTAACTAACAAGTTAGTGAAAGGTTAAAGAGATGTTAGGTACCCTCAAATTTGGAAACGTTCCAGGGTTACTCCAGTGCCAAAAGAAGTTGGGAGTATGAAAGTGTCAGAATTTAGACCAATTGCTGTCTTATCAGTGTCTGCTACAAATACTTGAGTTTATTCTCAACAAACATATTAATATAGTTGGTCATTTGTTACACAATAGCCAACACGGCTCCCGTAAGGCTCATTCTACTACTACAAACTTAATTGCGCATGTAAACTACATATATAAGGAGATGGAAAATTACAAACAAGTAGACACGGCATACTTCGATTTCAGAAACCTCGTCGACAACGACAAACTGTTAGAAAAGTTGGCATTTATTGGCTTTACCGCGGGTGAACGGGTAAAATTCCAGCAATTACTTCACGAGATCAGGCGTTAGTCAGGGCAGTACGTTAGGTCCAACTCTCTTCCTGCTCTTTATAAATTATCTGCCGAACACCGTTTGTTTTTCTGAAAGTCTCCTCTTTGCTAATGACTTAAAACTCAGTCTGGGTATTGAATCTGAATCAGATACCATAAATCTCCAAAGGGACATTGATGCGGTGTTAAATTGGAGTCAAAAAAAATCTATTGCCTTTAAATAATGCAAAATAATTATTAACACTCGAAGACCTAAACCAATTGTAAATTTATATAGCTTACTTGACGATCCTCTGGAAAGAGTAAATAATATTCGAGACTTAGGGCTGTTATTAGATTCCAAATTAGACTTTCATCTTCGCATGACAAGTATCTGTAAGAACGCAAATAGAATGTTAGGTTTTGTTATTAGGACTGGAACACAATTTGACAATAAAGTAGTTGCTAAAATAATGTTTCACGCATTTGTTCGTAGCAAGCTGGAATATGGTGCTGCTGTCTGAGACCCATTTGAGGACAAATATGTCCTTATGATCGAGAAGATACAGCCTAAGTTTGCCCAATGGTGCTTTCGGAAACAATACGGGCACTAACCTGTATCCTCACCTTAATCATTCTTTGTTCGTATCAGGCATGGTTGGTATGGAAACTTTGAAATTTAGGGGGGTACGCTAATGTTAATACATTATTTCTCTATACTCTATCATAAGATCGATAGTCCGCAGATACTAGAGAGTTTACGCATCTTAGTTCCCCGTAATATACGAAAGGAGTCAGGGCTGCAGCTAGTATCGCGCCGCCAGCCTCGTTTGCTAGCGCGCCCTGTCGCGCGCACCAGGCGCGGCGAGCACTCGCATATTATCCGCGCTTTACGAATGATTGGTGACATACTTGCTCAGTGCGATGATCTTGACTAATTTGCTGATGGATTGAGTAAACTTATAAGTAATTTAAGAAATATTGTAACTGACACTGTATAATTTTTTATCCCTGACATTGATTATTATAATTACTATTTTAATGATGTGTTATATTTTGTTTGACTATTTTAGTCTTTTTTGTTTTATTAATTTGACTATTTTCGTTTTAATTTTTTTGTTTTTTATTTGTTCTGCAATTATTTTAACTTAATTTTTTCTAATTTAAGCGACTTATTTGGTAATTTAATGTTATGTGTTTTAATTGAAAAGGATTATGACTTAAAATAGACAATTTTAACTTAATGTATCTAATGTTACAAGCGTGTTGGATGCTACCATCTGTTAGCTTGTAAGCATGTATCTTAAAAATAAATAAATTAATTAAAACAACCAGTGAGATTATAAAGAAACACTCCGAAATATTAAA